TCAGGCTCCAGCCTCCCTGTGTTCACAAGGTTTTGTGTGAGCCCAACGGGCTGGCCAGAGGAGAGTTCGGCTCCCATGGGACCCAGGACAAGCACAGTCGGGTTCAAGGGCGTGGGGCTGCTCAGAGCAAGGAGGCAGGACACCACAGACGACCAAGGGGCTGCCCCGCCACGGGCCCTCCTCCCCTCACCTGCCCAGGGTGCCCCCTCGGTGCCCATGCTCCGGGGCTCTGCGCGGGTCACGTGACAGCCTCACCAAAGAGCAGTAGGGTCTCTGGTCCCCCTGCTTGGGCCCTGAGTCCTGGGGTGGCTGCAGGTCCTCAGTGCCGGGTTAGTGCAGGAAAGGGAGCTACCACTGCTGGGAATGAGTCACAGGAAGGACAGAAACTAAGGCTCTGCTGGATCTGAGCCTCAGACACTAAGAAGATGGAAAAGGATTTCTAAACAAGAAAAAAGTATTCCTTTCTCAAGGCTGAACGTATCATACCCTTAATCCGAAAGGACAATCAACAGCTTGTCCTCGGCTTTGTTTTAACACAAACGCGGCTCCAGATGCTTCTCTTTCTGTGGAAGGACCTGCATAGCCCCAGGAGGAGGATGGAAGAACGGCTGACACGAAACAATCACAGCGCACCAACAGGCACACAGGTCAGCCTGTCTACCGCTGGCCCAGACCCCTGGGGTTTTCACTCTCAAAACTGGTCCAGGTTTTAGTGCCCACAAAGTGTACAAAATGGAGCTAATTTGCAACATCTGCTGTTCACCATTTGGGGGTGTTGCTTAAAAAAACCCACTCAAGTGACCCTTTAATCTTAGGGCTTTAATATTTAATCACGGCTTTGATTGCATATAAAGGCAGTTCGAGGGTATGTTTTCACCTAAAGGTCTAATAATTTAATAACACTTACTGAAGCTGCATTTGTATTAGATTTTGCTCTGTTTTAATACCATGTTGCTTTAAATAGGGTCCATTTTTAATGGGGACCAAAGAGTCTATTTTTTGGTTCTCTGCTTTCTTCTACGAACCACAGGGCATGAAGATGCTGAATCAGGGCCCTTTGATGAAGAACAACAAAGCCATAAAGATCATTTCCATCAGACAATGAAGATCACCTGACTGAAATCTTCTCTCTCTCTGTGGACAATGGTGTCACCCCCAGGATTATCGTCACCTTTCATGGGCTGATATCAGAGAACATGCAGCAGAGAAATCCCCACTTGTTCAGAAAGCAGCTTTGAAGCAAACCTTTCATATAAAATGTCAGGATACATTCTAACTCTTCAGGTGCCAACCTCTCCATTCAAGAAGTTTGAAATTGGTATTAATATTTTAACTTATCACTTACAGGATCTTTCCGAGTCGTGGCCACACTTAATTAGCTGACACTGGGCTTCCAACGTTCCATTATGTAACTTACATTCCTTAGATGTTGGTTTATTAACAATCCCGAAAGGAGAAAGAAGTTACTAGAATCTTTGTCTGCTCTAAAGCAAGGCATGTATGCCTCTGACTTGCATCATAGATCAACCAAGTCGGCAGTTCAGGAACTTTGTCCGACACTGTGGTTCAATGGAACACGGCTCTATTCTACATATTTAATTGCTTACATCATTGTATCGGGCTATTATGTATTGGGCTACTTTGCGCTATTATGTTTGGTGGGGGGGATACAATTTCGACCCACAGTTCCTTGAAATCTGAGTTCCACAATAATAAGCCATATTATAATAACATTCTATTACATTTCCCATGTAACCTCAGAGCATTTTTTGTTTTCCAGTAACTTCTTAACGAATATGTTTCATAAATATTTTGCTGTTGTGTTTCTATGTGTGTTATGATGGAGGGTATATTTTTTCTTTCTCGAAAACCTTGAAAATCAAGATGGGAATATAGGAATAATTTTTTCCCTTAAGGAATTAAAGAAATTTCTAGACACTTTTTTTCTGGGATCACCCCGGAGCAGTCAAAGCTTTAGCGGACCTGTCTGTGTCCTGACTTTATTCATATCTATGTATGTAGGTTTGTAGGCTGCATCTACGTACCTATGTTTCTATCTACCCATCCATCTCCGGAGTCCCCTGAGAATCGGGACGGGCACAGACCTGTATCTGATGTTTTAGACTCCACTTCCACAAACTGTCCTTAGGAAGCAAAGCTTGATGTTTCAGGTGATGGCCCTACAGACAAATGAGCCAATATTATATTAAATTTAATCACCATCTCCTTTGAGCAGGGCAGGTCCTGAAAACAGACAAAAAGAGTGGATCCTGCTTCCTCAGCAAATACATGTTTAGGGCAAGGGGCAGCAAGTACGAGTCCCAGAGAGAACCATGTCATTTCCTGCCTCTTTTCCTAGGTAATTTAAGGGCAATGACTTTCAATTTCATTTGACCTTTTATTTATTTAGTTCCTTGCTCTAAAAGCAAATAACCTGAGGAATTTAAGAAACTTATAAAGGGAAATTAAATTATAGGTTAAAAATCATAATAAAAACACATATCTAATGGGTATCCTTTTTATTGTAACAGTATAATATTGTTGTTAATTGCATTTTGGTATAAAACTATGAAATGTGCCATTGAATGGGTTTCAAGATTTAAGATTAGCTCATAGATTTGTATGAGATTTTAAAACAGGCTACACGATCACATCAAAGACTGGCTTTCTCTCATATTCCATTAAAATGTGAATTTTAAGATTGATATATAGTTTAAAATATTTATTTAGATAATGCTATTACATATATGAATAAATACCAGCCAAGCAGAGAAATAGGTATAAAAAAATATAACCAGTTATTGACTTTTTTTTTAGGGCTTGCTTTAGTAAATCAAGTATTGATCTCTCCCTTTTGGGACTTTGCTCTATTCCACTCTCCACTCCTCAGTGAAATGGATTCATTGGTCTTGGCTTATTCTTAGCAAATCGTAATCCACATAACAAAATATAAGCTGCTCATCTCAGCCAGTTTGGTCTTTTCTTTATGAGAAGAGGCTCACAGAAGTCTTCCATGGAGACCCAAAAAAAACATCTCATAAAAGTACGATTTGAAATCATCCACCTGAAACATGTCTTCTCTCCTCATATTATTTTAATAAGCATTATAAACCTCTCCCCACCTATTCTCCTGAGATTCTCTTCTAACCCAGAATTAGGTGCTTTTCATGGACTCTAAGAAACTTTTCTGTCACGCCCTAGGTGTTGTTTTGTTTCTTTTTCTTCCTTTTTTTTTTTTTCTGGCTTTTTGCTTTTGCTTTGTTTTTGGTCAATAAAAGTCATTAAAAGGCAGGAATGTGTTTGGAAGCCTACTCTCTCATTATTGTTCATTAGCAAAAGCAGTGCAGCCTCACCACACCCAGAGGGAAACTTAAGAGTCATCGCAGCCATAAGAAACGCAGTGGCTCACTCAAATGTAGTGTTAATCAGTAACTACAAACATTCACATGCGTTTAACAAGTTCAATCTGGAAAGAAAAAAATTATCTAAGTCATGAGATATTGAAAATCTTGCCAGAGACAAGATTATTTTTACTGGGAAATAAGAAAAAACTGAAAAGCCCTATTTAGCAAAACCTTAAGATATTCCCCATCAGAGGCAAGATGTTTGGTTCTCTCCAGTCAAAGCAGAAGCCTCGATAGCCATGCGAAGCAGCCATGAGTGGAGGGAAGGCACACCTCCCCACGGCCCTTTAGGTGGGAAACAAAAGCCCCAAATCTCTTAAATGCTACGATTAGCATTAGTGCTGTCTAGATGTGAGAATGTGTCAGATTTACCATTGAGGGTATGGAAGGACCGCAGCCAACACTTCTACAATCACAAATGTTATGGTTTTCGAGGGGACTTCGTGCCAGTGTCTCTACATGTTCCCGTGAAGAAACAGTTTAGTGCACTTACCAAGGAAGCCTAAGTTAGGAAAATGTTTATAACTCATTTTTTGAAATACTAAATTAAACTGAAATAGCTAAGTTTACTAAAGTTATAGGGACTATGTTTTAAGTCACAATTTTACTACCCTACAGAAAAATGATGCTAATTATTCTTAAATCCTATTTCCATTTTTTATCAGTTGCATGCAGTGCAGCCTCATTGGGTTATAATATGTAGGATCTATACTACTTAGCCAGCTACAGACATATCAAAAAATCACAAACCTTCTCAGTGTTCCCAAATAAATGAAATTAACTTTAGAAATCTAACTTTTAATAAGAGTTGAGGTGGGAAAAGGAGAAGAATGGAAACCTCTTTCCCTTCATTTTGGCAAAGTTTTCTAAATGTAAGAATTGTTTCCTCCTGACGAGTCAGTTGAGTGGCTTACGTAATGTGCAGAATTTCTAGGCCATCAGGTAACATATGGCAAATAGTTTTTGTTCTGGGGACTTTGCTCTATTCCACTCTCCACTCCTCAGTGAAATGGATTCATTGGTCTTGGTTTATTCTTAGCAAATAGTAATCCACATAACAAAGTATAAGCATCCTACCTAGTAAATTCTCAGAGACAACAATGAGAACGTCTTCCTTAAAACAACTGTAAAATAGGTCCTGACCTTTTAAATGATTAAAGTTATATTCCAATGAATGTAAACTTAACAGAGACAATGAAATCTCCAAGAGTGAGATTATTACTACACTCTGTTATTAACGTGGTCAAAAGGCAATTTTCCATAAGTTCCCACCTCTCCTTCCATCTCCACACCTACAAAAACATCCATAGAAAGAATGATAGGTTGGTTAGTAGTAAAATCTACACGCTAAATGTTAGGTGAAAGTCTTTAAGAAACAAAGGCACGACAGGAGAGTTTGCAGCAAAGCAAAACATGGCCGTTGGTATCATCCTTTAAGACTACATGATAATAAATATATGAATAATAAATCAACTTTCTAAATCACTTGAATTCAGGATGTATGCATCAGAAAGGCCAATACAGTCACTGTTCCCTGTAAAAGTACTCACTGTTTTTTATGTATTTAATTAAATTTTAGAAATTAAAAAGGTTTTAAACTTAAGGTTTCTAGAAATTTAAATTTCATTCCTGATATAAAGTGAGTTTGCTTCTTTCGGTGATAGCCATACAGCCCAGAAAAATTAACCTGGAATTTGCAGCAACATGTTTCCTTAATTTCATGACTAATCAAGTATTTATGAAATCAAGTTTTTATCAAACAGAACACTATACTTGTATATGTGCGTGAAATATACAGTACCCGTTATTAAAGCCTTATTTCATTTATGAAATGTCTTCACTTTTTTCCTATTACTGAGTCAAATGCTTTCCTGCCAAGCCTGTTTGTATCAAAGTCTACAAAGGTAATTCGTTTCATGCACTCCTCAGCTTCACCTATAGAAAGAATTGGGGCTCGTCATGATGCCAAACAAGAGCTTTTCAATAAAATATCAAACATGAGACAATGCAGTATGAACAAGAGACGTAAAGTTTCTTCTCATGAAGAAACATGCGGACAGAAATGCAGACATTGACCTTGGGGCTGTGACTTGTCTCTCCTCTAACTAGCAGCACCGTCATTCCTAGAGTTCAGTGTGATTAGCAGAAGTTTCACACAGACCTGGAAAAAAAAAGTTAGATGGCATCACTATCACAGTTAACACCAGCCCAGAAGTCATAATTTACTTTCTGCAAAAGCACATTCTTGTGGAAGCACATTTTTTTTTTTAAACTTTCTTATGGACATTTTCAAATACACCCAAGAGTAGAAAGACGAATGTAATCTACTCCCCTGTAGCTCGGTCAGCCACTGCTATTCCTGTCCCATCTCCAGTATTTTTTCCTGGAGTATTCTGAAACAAAGCCCAGGGGTTGTATCGTCTTGCCCGTGGTCATGGGAGTATTTAAGGAATATTCGAGACAGGGAATCCGTGCGCTGGGCATTTAATCCAGGGAGCAGAGAGGCAATGACGCTTGGATACATAGTACATTTCCAACTGGAAGCAATTAATGCCAGCTCTCTTTAGACTGGGCTACGGTTTATTCTAGCTACGTAATTTATTTAAAGTAGGAAATAGGCCAGCCTTCGTATTATTTTCTATGATTTATTAGCCTTGAAGGTAATTATTTTGAATATTAGAATTTAACACCCCCATTAGTGCTTGGAAGTCTATACAAAAAGGTCAAAATGCTTTTACTTTAAATGTAGGCTAAACATTTCTGGGTATCTGAGACCTATTCCATCTGTGGCATTCAAAATGATCGTGTCACAAATTCTCATCGGTCTGATGTTTTTAAATGTTAAGATTTGATATCAAAGCAGAAGTGATATGTATACAAAACATATTTATGTATTTGTGTTTATACCCTCACTCTACCTAATGAAAACCTCCACAGACCAGAGTATCCATTTATGCATAACCTAGAGTGACATGTTCTACCTTGAGTGGAGTATAGCTATCATTTGAATCATGACCTTATATATTATTAAGATTTTAAAATACCATTTTTACTTCAGGACATTAAAACGACAATCTGGAAAAGACTGAGTCATGTGCCACAAAACATTCAACCAGGAAAATCTAACGAACTCACTTTTATTTCATGCCTAGGAAAGAAAAAGAGATACATAAGAAATAACCTGCTACCACTATTACTGTCTCATGCCCCCCAGACAGGGTGTATTTGATAACTTTTCTTCTATCCAGTGAATAAAGCTATAGTGGCATCTGCAGACCATAGCCTTTCACTGAGACGTTTTTCATTCGTTGAAAGGATGACACGTTCATGAAAATCTCACTAAATTGTTATTTTTAAAGCCAAACACAGTCATTTTAAGGTTAACATAAAATATGTTTCCTCCATTTTTCCCCATTTATTTTGTGTAGGGGGTGAGCCTTAGAATATTAATATTTTAAAGAATCATACATGTGTTAATTAACTAGATGGGGGGAATCCTTTCACAATGTACACACATATCAAATCACCATGATGTACACTTTAAATACCTTACAATTTTCTAGGTCAATTATACCTCTACAGCTGAAATGTTAAAGTCTGTGAATGTGCCCTCATCTGCTCCCATATAATTGATAAAAATAAAGTGAAAAGGTCTACATGAAATAGAAAAAAGCAAAATTCACACACACACACAGAGTCACATTTTTAAAACATCATTTAAATCGTGCAGAGGGATCATAGCAAAACTGTGGTACAACAGCACAAAATAAAGCATCGCCTTTACAAAATGGAGGGTGAATGTCATGCTATAGCAGGAAACTTACTGTACTTGTATTAGATTATGTTTAAAAGCTTCTGGACTTTTTATACAATACGAGAGTCTCACCTTTTACACAAATTTCCGAAAGCATCCCAATATGTTAAAACGTATTACATCTTTGTTGCTGCAGTCATTAATTGGAATTATTCTCACTGCTCTGTCACTTTAGCTTTTTCCCCGCAAAAATTTTTAAGTTTGAAAAACTCTTTATCTTGTCATGAGGTTTACTTACTTCAATAATAAGGGGGGTTTAGGAGGGCAGGGATTCTTATTTCTTTTTAGGGTTACTGTATTCCTAGTTTTTAATTTATAAGTGGTTTAGAACATCCGTAAGTATGTTTCACAGAGAAACAACCTGAAAAAACTCACTCCGTTTTACTATGTGGCAGCCATGTGGTGGTTTACTCTTTGGAGTGGTTACTTTGTGTTCTCAATCGTTCTAGGGCACTGATACTTATGTTTACAGTATAAGCACTTAACCAGTTTTTTAAAAAATCAACGCTATTAAGAATTATTTGATCATGTTTTATTTTACACTAGTAATATTGCACATATCCTAGGTTTATGCTTTACGCTTGTGTTTTCTTTAGGATAATATTAATTTTTATTTCTAATTATAAATAGGCAGAAGGAATGAAAAGAGATAGTTAATATTATCGAAATTAAGCCAAATTGCCGCACTCGGGAACAGTCTTTCCTCAGAATCTTATTATCTGAGGCAACTACTGCCAGAAAGAGTTGGTGAAACTTTCTTGAGACTTTTGTAATATTTGAGCAGGTGCTCATACAGCAAATGATCTGCATTTACCATAGATGATTATGACAAGCCCAAATCCTTTATGAGGAAAAAATAGGAAAACAAATATTGTCAACATCGTTACATTTTTGCTTACATCTTAACGCACACGTTCACCTCTGAATAGCTTGAAAACCTTCCAAAATAATTTCTTTGGGAAATTGTGACTCTGCACTTATTTACGTGAATTTCACAAGTTACAACAGTAAATATCAAGATCAATGGAAAAAGCTCTTGGATCCCTGGCTATAGCCTGACTGCATCATTTCACCACACTCTCCTTCAAATTCCCAACTAAACTGGATTTTAAACAGAGAACAACCCCATTATCTCCTCAGAGTAAGAAAACATCATCACGTTAATGGAAATTTGTTACTTTCTTGTTCAGTAACTTTGGATGACAAATATTTATCTTCTACTCACAGTAACTGTTATTTTAAGGACTTCAGCACTAAATTTGATCCTATGGCTGCAGGTATATTATACTTTATTAAAAACAATTGCCGAATGCTAAACATCTCAAGCTTCCATAATTGCATCAAAGTATTTCCCCAGCTTCCAACCAGTGTCTTCATATATCACGTTCAGTTTTTCAAAGATATCTGAAAAGAATGTATGACTTGTTCTACATTCTTGTAAATGTATTTTAAAAGTATCAACGTGATACAGACTAAGTGTGTTCAACCAAATGGAGGGTCGGGTCTGGGTGGCCCTGTTTTTCAACTCTGTATATAGAAAATAAACTTCTGGCAGCGTTTTCTAGCTTCTTACTGTGCGTATATGCATGTGTGTGTTTAAGAATACGAATCAAGTATTATCTTCCACCCTCTCCCAGAAAAACATTTTTAAGAAGTAGGTATGCTGGGAAAGGAACTTGAAAAAAAATCTAGCGCCAAATAAAAAAACAGAAAAACGTTTGAAATTTCTTACTAAAGAAAGGTCCCACTTTCTGTTGGTGGAGGTAAGTACACAAGTCCTAAAGGGATTCTCTTTCCCTGGTCCAGGATGGAGAACCCAGCTCTGAAAGTTTAAAAACAGAAACGCATTGGATTCTTGGATTCGTGCAACTGTGCTCCTTCCCAATTGGAAATCAAGCATCTTTAAATTCATTTAAAATGTCGAGGAGAAGAAGTGCAACCAGCAAAGGCCTCAGAGCCCTGAGGTCTGTGTGCTTTTCTCTCACATGGCGTCGTTTCTGATTCAGTGGAGACCCCGTCAGGGGCAGGGAGACAGCGAGGCTCGGTTTGAAAAAAAAAAAAAAAAAAAAAAAAGATGCTGCAGTGCTGAGCTCAAGGGAGGGGTGGGCCAGGGAGAGGGCGCATGCTACATCAGACACAGTACCTGGTTTTTCACTGCACAGCTTGTCAGCGAGGCAGTGTGCCTCCTGGGCGATAAGTGAGAATATTTCATCTTCGTACTCTTCCATTATAGTTTCACACTGTAGAAACAGAATAACAACACATGTGGATAGATATGCACTCACAGGACGTCTTGTTAGGAAGAACTTGTCACAGTTTTATTAGCTAAAAATATAAAATCATGTTACCAAGGTGGTCCATTTTATTAGCTCTTTTGGTTTAAGACGACATTGCATTGGATGAACCCTCTTCCCAGAATGTTAATTGCATCATTTTCCTGAGACTTGGCTAACTGTTTAGTCCTGTTGAAAGACGAGGGTGAGGCAGGAAAATGGTTCTTTGTATTTGTTCCTCTTCCTCAAACTGGAGTGGAATGCAAGGAACAGGAGGGATTGGAGCTCCTATTTATGGAGCTGAAAGTCTTCGGGTTTTTTGTTCGTTTGTTTGTTTTGAAACTTTAGAGAACACGGCTCCTTGAAATGGTTAAAGCAGTTTCCTTTAGATTTAACATAATAATCCATTTTGTGGTTTTAAAACAGGGTCTGAAGTGTGAAAATAATTAAGCTTTCTCAGCAATCAAAATACAAGTTCATCTTCAATTGCACTCAGGGTAACGGGGCTTTTCAGTTACTCAGGAAAGTTTCTCTTCATACCACTTAAGGGATCCATCCATAATTTTCTTTGCTTCCCCCCACCCCACATCTGACATTTCAGAGAAGAGGGAGCTCAAATGTACCCACGCACCCAAAAATCTTAAATTCTGACTGGAGCATGTGTCTGCGTCGGAGAAGCACAAGCTGAGGAACTGTGGTGGTAAAAAGTGTTCACTGGAGACTAGTAACTCATTTTCCGAGTTCATTAAGTGAGAAGCTAAAATTTTTAAAATGGCATTTAAAAATATTTAAATTCCACTATTACATATTTATGGAAGACCTGTGAGATACGAACACACTTCCTCACTGTGATTCCCATTCTACAGTACTTTTAGCCCTGAATTATTGCCTTGATTTTTTAATTAAAATGAAATCTTCAAAAGTCAGCTGCAGCCCTTATACCAGGGGTTCAGCATGTCTGACATTTTGGCCAACGTGTGAACCAGACCTTTCTCAGACAGGCTTTCCCATCACTTGGTCGGACTCGATAGCATTAAGTGAAATCTCTTGCTATATATTTTGCCAGGCACATTCTAGAGAGCCAGAGGCCAGCATTCACGTGAAATAAACATTATGTTGGGAGGAAGTGCGGCATAAAGCCAGCTATCATACTAAACCCTTGTTTAGTGCTAAAATACTTGAATGAACTCAGGAAAAAAAATTCTCCCTCTTCTGTGAAGCCTTGGGGAAAAAGAAGTGATGTGTGTCACTCTCCCTCCATCATGTGGCTATAAATATTTGAAAACGACATTCATTTTAATTTGGATTTTAACCTCGGAACCACAGTCCCTGATTCCTGATGTAGGAACTTGTAAGAGACCTTCCCCCGGCACGGGGAGGACTGAGTCCTCTTCCCAACCGTCCCCAGGAGCAAAGCAACATGCAAACTGTGCCTCCAAGTCACTGGGATTTGTAACGCACTTTCTGGAAAATATCACTTAACTGTCTCCACGGAGATGAAATACCACAGCCCCTAGGTGTCTCAAAAGGCAAGTCACTAAGTGCGCGGTTAACACTGAGAAAGCAGCAGGACAACAAAGCTAATAGATAACAGTTTAATGGGCATGTCTTGAAACTCAACAAACCCCCAAACAAACAGCAAAAAAAAAAAAAAAGTACCAAAAACATGTTCATGGAGTACAGAATTCCTCTGCGAAGAAGATAGCTTACCGAGAATTTCAAATGTCTGTAAGCATCAGAATAAAAAGAGAATTTTAAAAATTCTTTGTATATTTTGTTTCCTTTCCTTGGAGCAAATCTCTTGAAAGTCTTCTCCTTAGTCACGGGGTCTTCTTCGAGCTTGTAGTCATTCATTCGCTCACACACTTTATCCAAGAGGTCTGTGAGGAATGCCTCCGACTGGGCTAAGGGAATCTGTGGAGAAAAGCCAAAAAAGGGAGGAAACTCGTCTTAACGTTGATATTATTTAAAAGACCTTCCCCTGAATGCACGTGCTAGCACACCCCATCCCCCAAACAGTATTCCTGTCCTGATACAACATGTGCACAGTTCTATTATTTACATAATTTAAGGGGTTAGCCTAAATTCCGGTTTTTAAAAAGTGCCTATGTTCGAAAGCGGACAGAAGAAAAAACTTCTATTCAAGCTAGAAACTATACTACAAGTGATCATTTTGGAGAGTCATGGAACATGCAGAATAAGGCATTAAGCACAGGTAACGGCTGTTATTATCTATCTACTTGCAAGAGACAGACAGAGCCAGAGAGAGCGCTCGGGTCTCTCCTCCAGCGCATCCCGAGCTGGGAGAAGGCCGGGCTTCGCGCTCCGCAGCCGCTGCCCTGCGCGCCGTGGCCCCTCGGCGGCCGCTCGGGCCCGGGGGCAGGGAAAAGCCAGGCTGACCGAATCGCCCCTCTCGCAGGGGCGGCTGCGCTGTCTTTGGAACAGCTGGTGCCCGTCTCCGCGCGCCCCTCTCCCTCCGGAATCCAGCGAGGATTCAGAGGACCCTTTGGCCAACCACCTCCGCCCCGCGCGGGGGTCAAAGAGCACCCCTCGCCCTTGGTAACCGGGACAAAAACTCGGGGGCCGTCTAGACAGGTCAAGGTGCAGGATGCTGCGTCCCCGCGGCTCCTTCCGGAAGGGGGCGGGGACCCGCCAAGGGCGCCGCGGACGCGCCGCGGCCCCGGCCTCTGCGGGCTTTCTCCCTCTCCACCCTCTGCTGATCAAAGTAGGAAGTTTGCATGACAACCATGGTGAAAGGGGCTGAATCACAAATGAACTCGATTTCGCCGATGTTGATATATCCAGCCTCCATTGTCCCCTTTCAGACGCAGTGTGAACCCTTCCGGTGCCGGCGACCGCGCGGCATTCACATGCGCGCTCCGGGCGCACAAAGGCTCCCCCCGCCCCTCCCTGCCATCTGGCCGCGGGGCTCGGGGCGGGCTGTGCGGCGCGCCTCTTCGCTTAACCCTGCTTCCAGCCAAAACCACTCGAGCGTCACTCCAGTCACCCCCCAGGCTCGGCAAGGAACGAACTCTGTAGAAAAGGAAGGAGCCAAAGAAAACCGGCACTAATGAACTTTCCATTACCACCACCACGTGCGCCGTGATAAAATATCCCTGCTTCTGCCTGCAAAACTCGATTTGAGATTGATTACGAACTGCTTTCAAGGCCCATGCAGTCATCTCTGCAATTAAGTCGTTTATTAAACTGGAGTGTACCGCAGCATTCTTTATCCGCTAAAATATCAAGTTAAAAAATTGAGTGTTTTAAGTTTTTTGAATGTCTACACTCAAAAGACCCTAAAGAAAGTAGCTCAAAGCGCACAGTCAAAACACAAGTTACGTTTTTATTTACACCTTTAACTGTGCCACTGAAGCATCGTAAGTTGTAAATAAAACCAAAAACATAGGTTAGCAAATTGAAAACCTGTTTCAGAAACGAAAGATTAAATATCTATCGGGACTTAAAAGCTAGAAAACAGAGGTAGATTCTTAAATTACAGTTTATCAAGCAGATCATCAACAGAATGGTTATGGTTTCTTCCTGCCCTGCGTGTGCTTTCGTATATTTCCTTGTCTGGTCCATATGAATAGGCTCATAGCACTTTCTGCATGTCCACAAAGCAGCATTTTTAACCTCAAAGTGAAGAGTTGGCTCTTTCATTTAAAAAATCTAACTGTGATCAAGAATCCATTCTCTCTCCCCCCTCCCTAACCCTCTCCTTCCCCAATCAAACTGTAAACACCGAGGGGCCACGCTATCACTGAATGGAGAGGGTCTGAGCATTGGCAGGGCGCTTTTGGAACCCTGGATGCCGTCCTTACACACCACAGTATCTCCCGTTGAGAGGAGACTACTCTCGAAACTGTTTTTTTTCTTTTTTTAAACTGACCTGATGTTCTGAGCTGCGTGCAAAAATCCTGAGTGTATAAGATCTGAGCAAATCAGGATGTCAATATGCGAGACCTTCCACAACTTACTTTTGAGAGCTGTGTTATTTATTTCCTGGGTTGATGCTTTTGAAAAAACAGTCGCCACAAGATAACTTTCCACCAAACAGGATTGTTTTCCTTATTTTGAAAGTGGAATTTTACGTATTTGAATATAGTAGTATTGTGCCTATTTTAACGCAGATATGTTATACCTAGGGATCAGCACGGGAATCTTGCTGATTTCATACATCTTTGAAGGCTAACTGGCTTTTTGATGTAATTGCTGGCTCTTTTGAGTAAATGTTCTTTAGTAGAAAGAGTAGGAAATGTTACAGGCAGAGAGCTCAGAAAATGCCACGTTACAATCTTCACTGAAAGCAAGAAAGGAAAACACCCAACGTGAGACTAGTAGTGTTCGTTTTACAGAAATATTTTTTAAAAACTGACCTAAAATGCCAAAGCGTCCGATTTTGTGAGAAAATTTTAAAGAAAAAGATGTTTATGCACGACAGCTATTTATACACTTATTAAAACGTGCATGATTAGGGTTTTAAATGATTCCACTTAGTTGAACTACATTCACTAAACTTAAAGACTGTTCAGGGAATAATTGAGCCTTTTTCTCCCCTCAAAGTGTTTTGATTATAAGAGTGCAATAAGTATTGAGACAAGTGGAATAAAACGAAGTCTTTCTTCCTATACTATGAAGATTCTGAATAGTACTTGTCAATAAAGCAACTCCTATTGTAATCTTAGGGGAGGATTTCCTCCACCCTGGAAGGAGGGTCTCAGAGATACTAACCTCATTAAAATATGAATGAAAAAGGCCGCCATCATTGTATCAGGAGAAAACCGATTCACTGGCATGGTTTTCCTATCAGCCATTACTTTTACAGACAGACTCATTTGGTATACGTTATAAATACAAAAACGATCTGCTACAATTTCATTACCATCTTAGCACACCCTCATCAAAGTAAATCCTAACTTTTGCCATTTTGGAATCTAGCTACAACTCTAAATCATACTTGGTATATGTCGTGCTTATTATTATGTTTTTCATTTGGGCCTCTTGTGACCATGTGCTTACTGTGTGAGCAATGACATGGGAGTGAGAGGAGATACTCAGATCCCAACTTGAAAATGGAAAAAGGTAGTTGAAAGTTTTGGCTTTGGTTTCTTGAGAAAACTGGAGTTAGGGATCTACTCCAGATCACTATAGCAACACTTTAATAACAGTCAATTACAGGGTGCCTCCCATGTTCGTTCATTACTGTGTCTCTGTTCATCCTGTAGCAAATTTCTGGCTTGATAGCTGTCACAATTACGTTACAGTTTACAGTCTGATGTGGAGACTGTCCTTGTGGTACACTGTCTTTTTCATAACAGCCTGACAAGTTTGGAGTGTCCCTCAGATAGGAAACCAGCACTTAACCTGCTTAGTGACGACAGTTAGTTTCACATCGTTACAAAGATTTTCTTTCTAGAGGTTTAGTTAATGTAAAAATTTTAATTGCGTTACAGCAAATATTACATCTAGTTTAATCACTAACTTTTCATCCATAAAAATACTGAAATCACTTCTGATGTTAGTTAAAAGTCAATATTTAGAAGTGAAAATTCAAACCTTCTTTGCTCTAGGCTACAGCAGGGAAAGCAAGAATTCAGAAACTCTTCTAAGTTGATGAGATCTATAATTAGCTTTCATGTTAATTGACTGCCATGAGTTTGTTGCGTGACACCATATAATATGCAAATAGCATTGACTGTTTAGTTTTATTGAACAAAATAATTAGAAACCTAAAGAAGCTCAACTCGATGAGGAATAATAAAGGTTGATACATTTTCCAGTGTTCTGTATATCAGAAAAAATGAATCCCATGTGGACTTAATCAATAAGAGAGATTTCAAGTAGCCTTTGTTCAGAGAGCCAGACAACAGAATTAATATTAGTTTTTCCATAAATTCGATGTCAAAACAGGTGAATTTGTGCAATCAGTAAAACCTTGGGGGCAAAAATACAAAGATTGCAACACAATTTACCACAAATGACACAGTAAATTTAGGAAAGTAACATCAAAATTCTGCCCCCTTTAATCTGGATACTGGAAAAAGGCACTCTTATTATTTGAAACAAAGTATTTTGCGAGTGTTTCCTCTTCTTACTCGTGGAGACATTATGTCTACATAACGTATACTCTCAGGTTGTGAGAAAAATAATAAAATAAGAACAACGTGATTTGGGGGGAAATTTTCCCCAGAATTCAAAACTATTAAAGTTTCAATCACATTTTCTTATTCTGGAGCCTGTCTTCAACTTAACAGTATAGAAAACTTGAAAGTATAGAAAAACCGTATGATGGATCCCCGTTAATGAGCTCCAAATGGGGGTCATCTAACTCAATTTGACTTTTTCCTAAAGTTAAAAAAACATACTTTCTTTTCATTATTAAATACAAAATTGGAACCGCCATTGGATTTCTCATCTTAAAAACTATTCTATTCGTCTTCAGAATAATTAATTTTCAAACATTTTAGGTGAACCGAATACAGCTCTCCACGTGGAAAATGTTATAATTTTTCACCCTTTGTCAACAATCACTCTAAGTGAGGATTTAGCGCGACCCTTTCACGCTCCTTCTGAGCTTTGACCTCTGCTGGCTTACCCCGGAAGGATTTTGCAGATTAAAAAAGAAAGTAATAGAAGAAAGTAACAGTGCTTAAAAGGGCAAAGGCCGTTAAGACTGCAACAGTGATAGAGGTGATGTGAATTTGTTCATTCGCTCAACAATATTTATTCAACTCCACCTCCGTGTCAGACAAACATACCTCTCTAATTCGGACTTTTTAAAGGGGACTCTTCCGTGATTCTGAATAAAAATGAAAAGAAATACTCGAAAAAGACTGCCTGGAAGAGAGTCAATAAATGCTAGGTGATGATAATATAAAGATCACATGAATACAATATCTCTGTCCTTATTTGACAATTTCTGTCCCCCCCCATCTGCGTGGCTTTCACCATCTTGCTACTGAAAACACAATAGTTATCCCTTTCTAACCACCTCTGCAAAACACTTTCTCAGAATAGAAGAGGCGGAAAGTCACGTCTGCGGAACCTGTTGTGGCATTTCCCAGTTTCATCACCTATGTACTTGTGGGCAAGTGGTGAGATTTCCCTGGAAAACCTTAGAGGTCTCAGAGGAAAAGGACGAAAGAATGGGATAAGTTAAAAAGCTCTGGGTGTTCCGTCTCCACAGTTGTGGAAACACGCATGCACACACCAGTTCCCGCTGGCTGCAAAGAAAGCACTCTCTCTCTCTCTCTCTCTTTTTTTTTTTTGGCCACGCCATGGGCATTCAGGATCGTAGTTCCCTGACCAGAATTGAACCCGCGCCCCCTGCAGTGGAAGCCAGGAGTCTTAACCACTGCCAGGGAAGTCCCTCTTTCTTTAAAAACATTTTTAAATAGAAAAAGTTGCACATTCACTTGATTTTTTTTAATCCAGAAGGAACAAAAGAATAGAATAAAAAGTAAGGCTGATGCTCCCCCAGACCCTAAAGCCCAGCTCTCCTTCCCCCAGAAACATTCTAAGTGCACCTCTATGAGTGTGTAATGAATGTGTGTGTGCGTGTATGTGTGTGTCCGTGTTTGCCTGTATGCACGGGTGCCTGTGTGTGTCCATGTGTATCTATGTGTGCATGTAGGCGTGTAAGCATGTGTGTCCGTGTGCGTATGTGTCCATGTGTGAGTGTGTCCATGTGTGAGTGTGTCCATGTGTGCAGTTGTGAGTGTCCCTCCTCCTCTTTTTACAGGATCCGAGCACAGCACACCCCCTGTCTTTCTC